AAGCAGGCATAGTCAATGTAATCATTTTGCAGCATTAAGTTGGAAACATGTAGCACTAGAAAGTGAATCAATGCATCCAAAGCATCTTCATATGTTGCTTTACATTGTAATTTATGTCTTACTAGAATATTGGATTCTTCACATTTTATATGTAAGTTGTTGATATAGTGCCTCTCTTAAAATGAAATCAGTGAAATATTATGTAATCATGCAGTTTAAATATTATAATTATAACAATGTTTATAAGACATCCTCGACTCTCTGATTTGTCTATGTAATATACATGACGAAAAAATAACATATTTCTCACTCTCTGATAAGTCCATGTCCCACGCGTGACTAAAAATAACAAGCGATATTCAAAGGAAGTCATGTGACATCCGTTAAATATCAAATGATATTCACTAGTCACGACTTTGTTCCGTGTAATTTCAAGTTAATGTAGTCCTGGGAGTACATTGTTATGGTTAATCAGACATCAATAGTTTGTTGTTCCATTAATGTAAGTGAGGAATATATTAGTGAATAATAAAACAAATATTTAATTCTATTTTCAGTGAATATCTGTGACACTTTCACCAGATGATATTCCACTAGCCCTTCGGGATTTCTGGAATATTATTTGTGATGAGGTACAAATATTCACCTCAATAGAATTAAGTATTTGTATTTTATTATTTCACTGTCAGATTCTTCACTCTCTGATTGGTCCATGTACTGGAAATAATAGGCGAAATCAACGGAAGTCCAAGACTAGCATCAAATATCAAATGATATTCACCAGTCAAGACTTGGTCCTGTATTATTTCAATTTTATATAGCCCAGGAGTACATTGTTGTGATTGATTAGACATCAGTTATTATTCAAGGAATGTGAGTGAGGAATATAACAGTGAATAGTAAAACAAATATTTAATTCTATTGAGGTGAATTAATGTGGCACTTTCACAAGATGATATTCCATTAGCCCTTTGGGCTTCGTGGAATATCACTTGTGAAAGATATAAAGGTTATTTAATGGAATCGAAGGTTTTTGATACAGGGTATATCTGAGGTAAATACAATATATCTACCCAAGGGACAGGAGGGACCGAGGGTTGATATAATGTATTCACCTAGGGATATACCCTGTATCAAAAATGGAGCATTTAAAGGGGCAACAAGGCCTGTAGAGAGAAAATTCGAAATTTGTTACTTTTTTGATCTATCAGGTCAACATTTGGCTTAACACCTTCTTTGGCATACCTATTTTCTTGTAAAATATATGGATAAACTATCAATTTCAGCATTAAGAAGTGTAAATTCAATTCAATGATTCTATAAAGGGAGCCCCACTTATAGATTTTTAAGATCTACTATGTTTCAAGAGGAATATCAGCTGAAATAGACTTCAAATAGTGTTCATCCAGGGGGTTTCTTTGTAGATAATAAAAATATAAGTAAGTCTTGATGAAATACCCAAACTTAAATATATTTTGACACTGGTTCATGATTGTTGAATTGCACTAATTGTTGCACCTTTAAACTGAGATTATGAGATTACGAGTACGACATTAAAGATTTAAAATTCAAAAATATATTTTCTTGTGTTGGGCAGATAATATTTTCTTTTACTGGACATTTGTATAACTATCAGACACATAAGGGTAATATGAAAAGTGAACCACTAAAACTAATGAATATTCAAGTTTACGAGAACTTTGTAATACCCTGCTATGTTATTTTCCCCAAATTACCCACCTAGTGGCGAAACTGGTAACTACCTACTCACATCTGAGTAATTAAATATTTGTAAAATATTTGACGGAACGAATTGTTGAAGAGGGCCCCTTAGTTCTCATCATCTGACCATATTGCAGTTCTCATTCCCGGTCCTCATTAAGCCATAAAGCATCAGAGAAGAGAAGAGCAGAATGCTTTTATTAAGATCGCACAAGCATACTGGAAACGGCCTTCACTATGTTAAGTTCACATTGATTGAAATAAAGATTTCAACATTTAAGGTTTATGCCTCAAATGACATGAGACACAATTTAAATCTTGTAACTCAGATGAAAAATATTAATAGTTATATAATGTTTATAATATGCCTGTCTGGATTGCATGACACATTAGTATTCTATTATAATACATGTACTATATTGAAAACTTATATATGTTATATAAAATGTGTATGAGTCCTATATTCTAGTAAAAGATAAATTACAATGTCAAACAACATATGAAGATGCTTTGGATGCATTGATTCACTTTCTAGTGCTACATGTTTCCAACTTAATGCTGCAAAATGATTACATTGACTATGCCTGCTTTCCTCTTTTTTGAAGGGGTAGGGCACTATAACGTCATATTTAAATTACAAAATAGTGATTCATCATTATAAAAATTGTATAACAATATCATCCAAACCTTGGAAATGTTCTTGGAATACTATTTTGAGCTGTTAAAGCTGTAACATTTTGCCTGAAGCTACAAATACAAATTAGACGAGGCTTAAAAGTGTACATTTTCGGACCAAAATTGACGCAAAAAGTTCAATATCTCTGGATTCAGTTGTCATATATTGATGTATTATGACTTGTTAGAAAGGTCTTCTTACATATTTTATGGATATATCAGAATATCAAATATATTCAACTTCACAAGGCTCTGATACAGCATTTTGATTGTGTGTGGCTGTATCCATGGTGACCTTTAACTCACTCAGAAATGGGTTAAACCCCAAAATTGGCTACTCTTAAGGACTCATAATGTTTCAGAGGGTCCAAAGGAACATTTTGACAAAGGTTTCATTGATGTACTCGAGATGTCATTTAAAACTAATTTTAGGGGCATTTCAAAAAGTGCCCCCTGGTGGTAGCCCCAAATTTGTCACTTAAGAGTTGCCTTTTTGGGGATGTTAGACCCACATCTACTAATTACAGGCCTCAAACCTTTTGTACTCGAGATGTCTTATAAATGTTTGCTAGCTCCTAGAGTACTGGATTTGAACGGCTATTTATATGAGAAGGCTACATGAATTTGTATATGGTCGAGTGATACGTACAGGTTCAGTTTCGATTATATATGCAAAGCTTAACCTCTCCATTGTGAAGAGGCTCACGTATAACTTATACATATATTTTCTTTCTTATTGTAGATACATCTGGTAGCTAAAGTGCAGGGGTCGACAAAAAATAGAGATAGCACCAGTGACATTGCAATTGACAATATTTGCATCCGCCAAATAAACGGAGCAAATTGTTAATTAACTTGACGATATAAATCAAAACAATGGTATATATCTCAATTAAAGAGAGCTATACCCGCCACGTAATTTCGTAATATACTAAAACAGACTCGGTTGCATGGGTTTTCTTTGTTCCAGTTGTAGGTGCTTTACATATAGAAATGTGTTATGCAATGTATTTCTATATGCTTGACATTGCTTAACATATAGAAATGTGTTATGCAATGTATAATCTACATGTTGGGCAATGCTATAACATGTTGAAATGTGTTATGCAATGTATAATCTATATGTTGGGCAATGCTATAACATGTTGAAATGTGTTATGCAATGTATAATCTATATGCTTGACATTGCTAAACATATAGAAATGTGTTATGCAATGTATAATCTATATGTTGGGCAATGCTATAACATATAGAAATGTGTTATGCAATGTATAATCTATATGCTTGACAATGCTAAACATATAGAAATGTGTTAAGCAATGTATAATCTATATGCTTGACTATGCTATAGCATATAGAATTTTGTTATGCAATGTATAATCTATATGCTTGACAATGTTATAACATATAGAAATTTGTTATACAATGTACATGTATGTCTATATGTTGGGCAATGCCAAAATAGAAATGAGTTATGCAATGTATAATTATATTGGACAATGGTAAACATATAGGAATGCTTTATGCAATGTATTTCTATATGTTGAACATTGCGTCAATATACCGGATGTCCAAAAACAGGACCGTAAGAAAGTTGAATACTTTTGCATATTTTGCCTTGAAATTTTTCATTCAATGTGAATTTTGTTCTGAAAGTTTAATGATAATCTGTCTATTGTGTCAAAAATTCCGTACCTTACAAAACATGCTCAAAATGAGCAGTTCTTCAAGTTCTATGCACAAATGATCGAATCCTGCAAACAAGGTTGTTAATGACCCTGACCTATACACATCAATATGGATGGTACGAATTGAATTGGGGTAGTTGTTGCCCTCTTAAGATTATTAGGGGCTTGTCAGTATACACATTGGCTTTGAGAAATCCCCAAAGATAAAAATCCGGGGGATTTAGACCTGGCGAATGAGCTGCCCATATGTTTTGCGTTCTGCATCTGATGAGTTGACCACCAAAGCATTGCCCTAACCAATTTCAGCATATCATTTGCAGTGTTGGGGTGGTATTGGCATGTTGAAACCACTGCCTATCTCCTTAGATGCCCATTCTGGTGCTTAGTGACCTCCATAACTTAGTGAGAACTTGAATATACTGGTCCTTGTTCATGGCGATAGCACTCCCCCATTCATATTCGAACCAAAAAGGACCGATGATTCCATGTTTGCTCATTGCCGCCCAGGTAGTGCATGCATTGTTCAGAATGCAATGGATGCTGTAACACTTCATCAGGAGGACGTTTGCCCCAGTATAGCAGCTGTTCTTGGAATTAACTTGTCCATTCAAAAAGAAATGAGTGTCGGAGGATCATAAACAACTTTGTTCGCCGTATTGATTTGTGCATGGAGAGGAGATGTGCACATTTGAGGCATGTTTTGTAAGGAACTGTAGTTTTTGACTCAATTTGCAGATTGTTATCAAACTTTCAAAACAGAATTCACATTGAATGAACTGAGTAATTCTGAGATTGAAAGGCAAAATTGACCGAGTTATTCAACTTTCTTAAGGTCCTGTTTTTTGGACACCCTGTACTATAATGATGTTGTAATGTTAAAATACTATAACCAATATATTGCTTATATCATTTCAGATACGCCTATTGGCGCTCGTTGGAAATAGAGATAAGGCTGATGTGGCAATCGACAATTTATGTATCCGTAAAGGAGTTTGCGAGAAAGCAAGCAGTCGGAAATGAAGAAACGTATAGGAACATCGAGTAGAGTCGCGATATCGCAGAAAGGGACTTTCTTATCTAGGATATTGCGACAACATTCAAAAGTTTTATGCAAAAATACAGAGTCAATCTGCAATGAAATAATAACAATATAATCGAATTCACACATAACGAGGCACTTTCTGACCAATCGGAAAGCGTTGCAGCCACCAGTTATCTGAAATTCCAACGCATGATTTTACTTTGATCGTTTTACTTTGTTCACGTCTCAGTATGGTTATGCCCTTGCTTTATGCTGCATAGTAGCTCTCTGCTACAACTTTAAAATTGTATATAATTGTTTTTCAAGGGATTGATTGCATTCTGTTCCAACACAACAAATAATGCTTGGGATAAAATGCAACAATTTAATAAACGGTGCTTGGCATATCCCTAGTGTGTATTTATTGTGTGTTCAAACAATATCTTATTCCAGTTTGGTAAATTCATTCTGTCATTCATGACGGTTGGCTTACTGGGATAAAATTTGATTTAAATACTTTGAGACATACCATTGTTCTTTCATAGACTACTTTTCTGTTATATGGATGGGGTTATGTCAAACTATTAATATATTATGTCATAGATCTTTGGTCTCCATCCCCACTGGTGACTGAGTGTCTATAGTTACATAAACTTGTTCATTTGAAATAGTCGAGAATCGTTTTTTGTCTCTAGAATACCACTAATATGTCAGTTTTTCATTCTTCGTGTATGCTTGGTAAATGTTCGTAAATATTTATTATTTACATGATGTACATTTCATTTCATGATATAATTAGTTAGTCTTAGTTTCAAGTGAACTAAGCTGCTTTAATGAGAAAATGTACATTTTGTTTTGTAATAGTGAATAACAGCCAAGATCTTAGTCCCGAAAGGGCAACGTTTGTCCTGAAATATGCCACGTTGGTTTAGTGGTATAACATGCCAATATCTAAGTCCTGAAATATGCCACGCTTGTTTTGTGGTATAACATGCCAATATCTAAGTCCCGAAATATGCCACCTTTGTTTTGTGCTATAACACGCCAATATCTAAGTCCCGAAATATGCCACCTTTGTTTTGTGGTATAACATGCCAATATCTAAGTCCCGAAATATGCCACGTTTGTTTTGTGGTATAACATGCCAATATCTAAGTCCTAAAATATACCACGTTTGTTTTATGGTATAACATGCCAATACCTAAGTCCTGGAATATTCCACGTTTGTTTTGTGGTATAACATGCCAATATCTAAGTCCTGATATATGCCACGTTTGTTTTGTGGTATAACATGCCAATATCTAAGTCCTGGAATATGCCACGTTTGTTTTGTGGTATAACATGCCAATATCTAAGTCCTGAAATATGCCACGTTTGTTTTGTGGTATAACATGCCAATATCCAAGTCCTGAAATATGCCATGTTTGTTTTGTGGTATAACATGCCAATATATAAGTCCTGAAATATGTCATGCTTATTTTGTGGTATAACATGCCAATATTTTAGTCCTGAAAAATAGTTTCTGTTTTGTGGACTTAACGACCAATATCCTAGTCCTGAAAAAGATCACGTTTGTATTGAGGTATCAAAATGCCAATATTTTAGTAATGAAAAGATAGTGTTTGTTTTGTGGACTAAACATCAACCAATTAATATCTGAGTCCTGAAAGTTAGGTCACACGCAGGAATAGTTCAGCAAACAAATGTAGTCGTTATACTTTAATATCTACTGTAGTACAGCAAACAAATGTAGTCATGTATACTTTAATATCTACTGTAGTTCTTCCGGATGTTAGGAAAAATTAGACATGGTATCTATGTTTAATCTTTTAAATAAAAATAAATATTATTTGTCTGTTATCTCAAATGTTTGATTTGTTATAAGTACTTTGGCACGTTTAACTAGATTCCATGAAGCAATTCCACAAGAAGTTTCAGATAAGTAGCACAGCAAGTTGCACCTTTATGAACGTTACAAGATGTATCGTCTATTCCTTTGCAGTCACACCTGGATTTTACACAAAATACCACCCACTTTATAAATCCAATATAATTTTGTAAATTAGTTTAAATGATTTTGTTAATGACAACTGTACATGTATCATCTTGCATTGTGTTTTATTGAGCGGACTTCGTACCCTAAAAGTACAAGAAAAAATCATAACTATTTACGTTACAAAAGGTAAGTGGCATTTTTTGTGTATAAGCCAGATGTACCTGCAAATGAATGGACGAAAAGTGCATCTAGTTAAGCTAGTCATCTGAAACTTCTTGTGGAGTTCCTCCATGGAGCTACCATTTGCACTCGTTCGACTATTTGCTTCTCAAAAGAGAGCTTGGTTTATAACCAGACTCGGCTCGCATGGTAGCATGAAGTCTAGTTTCGATGTACTAAATGACAGCGCGATATCATACAGACAAAAAAGTGATGCAACATTATGTAGGTGGCATTTTTGTGTCACCCTGTATAATCTACAATTTATTGTATATACTAGTAAATGGTATATAATGCCTAATGTGTATGTATATCTTTATTGCCCTTTATGAAAAGGAGATACATGTATACAGTGTACAATGAAAATAATGCTGATATAACATTAATGTTAAATGAACATAGAATAAAAATATATACAATATATAAAACACACTTTATACGTTAGATGAGTGCTAACCATCTTCCCCAAGGTCGATGTAAGCATCTCATCTAATGAACCACAGACGATATAAGATGCTACCGCTACCTCATCGTTACCCTGCTTGCAGAGTCTAGTTAAACTACAGACGGAGCTCTCTTTTAAGAAGTGAAGTCGAACGAATGCAAAGGGTACCTCATCGTCCAATTACAAACCTCAATGAGATCATTTATGCAGAGATCATAATTGAAAAAGTAAAAAAAAGGTTAGGTTAAGAAAGGTTAAGTATGTACATACAATTTTATACATTATATAATATACTTATCTCATTAGTTGAGTGCAAACCATCTTCCCCAAGGTCGATGTAAGCATCTCATCCAATGAACCACAGACGATATAAGATGCTACCGCTACCTCATCGTCCAATTACAACCCTTAATGAGATCATTTTGTGCAGAGATCATCATTGAAAAAGTAAAAAAGGTTAAGTATGTACATACGTTTTATACATTATATAATACACTTATCTCATTAGTTGAGTGCAATAGTATCTAGTTTATATAGTTCCCAAAGAGTTGCTATAATATCTAATCAATCCCGTGAACGTGCAAACTAAGCAAAATCAGTATTAGTTGTTAAGGGACAAATGTATTTGAAGAATAGAGTAGTCTTGGGAGATATGGCGACACAAATATAAAAAGATGTTTTAAGATTTGTGTGGAATGTAAAATACAGGATGATCCGAAATGAATGCAATTCATAAATGGGCTGTATGATGCATATAACACAAAAAAGAATGAGTCACGTGGGATTCGTACCAGGTTATGGTGACACAAATATGAAAAGATGTTTTAAGATTTGTGTGGAATGTAAAATACAGGGTGATCCGAAATGAATGCAATTCATAAATGGGCTGTATGATGCATATAACACAAAAAAGAATGAGTCACGTGGGATTCGTACCAGGTTATGGTGACACAAATATGAAAAGAGGTTTTAAAATTTGTGTGGAATGTAAAATACAGGGTGATCCAAAATGAATGCAATTCATAAATGGGCTGTATGATGCATATAACACAAAAAAGAATGAGTCACGTGGGATTCGTACCAGGTTATGGTGACACAAATATGAAAAGATGTTTTAAGATTTGTGTGGAATGTAAAATACAGGGTGATCCGAAATGAATGCAATTCATAAATGGGCTGTATGATGCATATAACACAAAAAAGAATGAGTCACGTGGGATTCGTACCAGGTTATGGTGACACAAATATGAAAAGAGGTTTTAAAATTTGTGTGGAATGTAAAATACAGGGTGATCCAAAATGAATGCAATGCATAAATGGGCTGTATGATGCATATAACACAAAAAAGAATGAGTCACGTGGGATTCGTACCAGGTTATGGTGACACAAATATGAAAAGAGGTTTTAAAATTTGTGTGGAATGTAAAATACAGGGTGATCCGAAATGAATGCAATTCATAAATGGGCTGTTCGACGAATATAACACAAAAAAGAACGAAGAATGAGATTCGTATCAGCATAGTCAAACCAAAGATCACTGACCTCACCATTAGAGTATGAGCAATGGGATGGAATCAGCACTTTGTCATTGTCATCTGATATCTCAAATTAGTCTAGACCAAAAATATTTTTAGTTCTAGTTCCACAAATACAGATGAAATCCTGAATAAATCTGCATTCGTTGAGGCCAAACTCAGTAAAGAACATTTTACCAACAATGAGTCAACCAGAACCATTCAAGAATGTTTACAAGACACTGATCGTAACAACAGCATACAGGTACATAATATCTTTCTTGCCCATCAAGAACGAGGAGAATATGGATATGTACATTGCAAACCTTGATGACATCATGGTGGTGATATCAAATGACTTAGAAGCAAAGGAATCTGAGATTAAAGGGACACTACTGAAAGATACACATGATTTTAAATGGATTGACTGTGCCTATGATATTCTCCTAAACAGTATCAGTGTTTACAACCAGGTCGGACTAAAATGGATTCCATGGCTTAAAGCAACAAATTTCAAATTTCCTGAAAATTGAATGGCGAAAGATGCCCAAGCGAGCGTTGGGTTTTGGCGGGTCCTCCATCCAAGGTATTTTGGAAAAATGAGATTTGATCAAGTGCTTTTTAGAGTAATGTAGACCCATTACATAAGCTTTCATATTTGGAGAAAAAAGTATTTTCATAGGAAAAAATTTAACAAAACATGACCTTAATTTTGAAACCCTTGCTTGACCCCCTACTCCATCCCTCCCACCCCCTAGAAATAAATCCAAATTTGTATTGAACTCAATGGGGTCAGATTTTGGTCAATTTATTCCTGAAATTTCCTGAAATTCCTGAAGCCTTTAAGCCATGGGATTCATGAGAATATTACTGAGTTCATAAAAGAAGAACCAGACAGAGTACTAACATTACAAACACATACACCACATGTTGTTTAATCATGTAGCTTGTATTTCACACACATAATATGTGATGGACGCTGTTGTCTGTACTTCAAGATTTTCTTTAAGTGAATTCCACCTTGGTATTCCCAGATTCCACTCAGTTTATGTAGATTTTAACAATCACAAATAAACACTTTTTCAGGAAATCCTAGGGTGAGATTTGTGATTGTTACAAAAGTCAACATGTTTTGAGTGGCATTGTCTACTTTTTAAGGCATTATTTGCTATTATTACTTTTAGTTATATGTACAATGAAATTATGTAATAAAGAAAAAAAGAATATTTCTGACGACATCTATTAGACTATTACCCGCGTTGACAATTTTCTAGTGGCTTTCGTTAAAGAAAAATAGACTTTGAGAGCAGGATTAGGAATCCTGTTTTTTATTGTATTGGGCATAGATGTATATGTTTGTAACTATGTATAAGCTTACATGACTAAATACTGCTACAAAGAAGACAAACGTTGATAATTCCATTCATTCAGATAAGCATAAAACTAGGACACCTAAAGCTGACCCACCTATCACTGGCAATTTTGGCTTTGAGCGTCAACCATGGAGACTAGCCAATGAGGAATAAAATATGGAAAATTGTCGAAGAGAATACCCTTTTAATTAAAAAAATCAGTTTTTCTACAAAAGAAACTTTCAATCTTCAGAGAAAATTGACACAGAAAAATACTCAAAAGGGAAGTCTTTATAAGTATTAACAGCTATGTTGGAATGAAACCCATGGGACTGAACATGTCTGTAGATACAAAATGAGTCAACAAAACTATCACTTCTAATTCTAAAGCTTTATTTGGCACAAAAATCACCATATTGCAAACAATAACCCTTACATACATGTACATGGTACAAAGTTATTAGGTCAATATCAATAAACAAAATGTCATCCATATAGATATTGTTCATCATTTATATTC